CGCTAATTAGTTAGCAGTTGTTGAAAGTGAAATTGAAAGAATATACAACGTATTTTATAGGCATAGTAACAAAAACGACGATGTATTTAAACAAATTAAACAGATAAGTAGTTTGACGAGTACGTTAACTGTGTAAAGTACCATAATTATATAAATTTACAATAAAAGAATTAATTTCTTTTATTGTAAATTTATATAATGCGATGATTCACTATTCCGGCTTTGCAATGACCGCAATTGCTTCATAAAATGGTGTGCGAATAAGTTATAATATAAATTACATTATTATTAAAGTTCATGCGCAAGTCACTATCGTGTAAAACAATTAATTCTCTTTTATCTCGATTCGTAGAATTATGGGAGTGTATTTATTATGTACACTTGTATATCTTATAATGTGGCTACCTGCGCGATCGACATCGAAATTAATTTATTCTGCAATGTAAAGCTTAAAAATTCATAACAAAAAAATAACTGCAAATTTATTCGTAATTACTCGCCGGTGGAACCAGAATATTCAATGAATTCTGCAGGTAGTGACGTGATGAGACAAATAAGTTACGTTTAATGATATTAAGCACCTGTAGCCTGTAAAGCATGCCGAGCTCAAGGAGCTAGTACATGAAAGAGTTCGAAGCCAAAATTATGAATAGGTCGAAGCCAGTGATTGCCTTCTGTTAATCGAGACACAGTTTGCGTCCGCCGCGCTGTCTGGTCCGACATACCTAACCTATTTGCGAAAACGAACACTTGGTCACGACACAGCACACAACGAAACTACACAGGCTTTAATTTAACCTTAAAGAAATAAACAAAGTTTTTGAAAATGACTTAAAAGCTTATTGAAGAAATTTACGTGGCAAATTATACAAATTAAGTAACTACATGAATTGCGCAATTGCTTTGTATTTCGAAACTAACACCAAAAGAAAAATAGTTTTGCCAACCAAGGTGATTCAACAGCAAAACAATGTATATAATGAGGACGAACGATGACACGACCTAAGACAAACTGATAACGAAATACAGAAATGTCCCTAAGTACATTCCATTTATAGGAAATAATTAACAAACAAATTTAGGCGTTGACATAAAATTAAGTACATGTTCTCTCTTGGAAGACATGAAGTCTTCCAAGAGAACACATCGAATGGATTAACTAGCTCCGTGGTGGGTGTAAAGGAGGCAGACTCACATGTCAGACGTCTCATCTCATATTTCTGACGTGGGTTGATGCAGCCATGACACGCGAACCCAGAGGGCTCTTTATATCTACACCCGTAACAAGCGAATTAATTAAGCATACCTTTGATTTACTTGGTACTTGGTGTAACGGGCTGGTGTCCGCAACTCGACGACAAGGCGCCTATTTTGCGTGTATACCTTTGATTTTCTCTAAGAAACTTTTTTATAAGAAATCGTAATTTATTACCTTGTTTAAATAAATCATTTAAGACCTCGTTTGCTTGTTAAAGCAAACAATTTCTGATGTGAGTCACGCATTTACAATTTAAAGCAAATTTATAATCGGGCTACCCAACGACATTCCATGCAACCTCTACATAAAACTGGAGACGGGTAAAGTTTGCGCCCAATACAGCGATTACGCTGTATAGGCGACTGCGGACACCAATGAAATTCCAGTGAATCTTTGTGTCACATATCGAACTCAGAAGAAAATTTATAAGCATACTAACTTGTATAGATAAAAGAGACGGATGTGGTATACGATTTATTTCAAATTGTGAGAAAGTGGTATAATCCATTGATACGGAAACTAATTTATCGACGCTTTCGTGCTACTTAAATCGATAATGCCCGTTTCCCGCTACGCACACGAACCGCCTTACTAGCCTACTTTTGTGTCATCATTAATACCCATTGCTTATGAGGACATCATTTTGATGCTAATGCCAAACTTAAAGGACTTAACAAGCGTCAATACGATTATGTCTGCTATTTATCTTTATTAACATCGGTCTTTAAATTCAACGTCGGGGCCTCTAGGCTGAGCAGTTAGCATCGATCATAAGAATTGACCAGTACAAAAATATTGCCGAAGTTTTACATGTAAAATGAAAATATCAACTGTGTAAAAGCTCATTTCGTTTGTAATAAAAACGTGACTAGCTATTTGTGGTTTAATAATCCTTGGGTGCAATGCAGTGCAGTTCTCATAAAAAAAGAAACCCACAATATCCAAGTTGAGATTCAGGCAACGGTCTCGGTGGTTTCGTCATTTTGTTACGTCAATTTCGAGTATTGAAAAAAGGAACGTTAGGACACCTTCCTCCTGACATTTTAATTTAACAACGGAAGCGGCATGACTCGACAGGAAAAAATCAGATTAATTTCCACCGTTGACCCGAGACAACCGCACTGTTGAAATAAATTGCCTCAAACTTCGGCTTTGGCTTAAACGTAAAGACAGGAAGAGACAGTGCTTCATAGTCGGGTGTGATTTGAGCTTAGAAATAATCGTGATTTCACTAGGAAGCTGTCTACACAATAGGGTCGTGCAGGACGAGAAGGCCAATGACATTGTGAAAATAAACATCTTTATTATACTTCTATAATCTTTCATCTAAAATGTTTGTGTTGGCACACAAGTTGAATTTGCTTCCGCATTGATTTCAATGTCACGGAAGGCAAGATAAAGGTATACCACATCTTGTCCAGAACAAAATAATAGCTTGGTCAATAAACAGATGTAGAAGAGCGTGTGCATAGTCCACGTAGACATCAATTAAGTTATATTAGTGTAACGTAATAAAAGCAGTATAAGTGTGTTAGCACCTGGAAGTAGCCGCGTTGGCTCGACTCCAGCTCCACTGAACTTTGACAACCAGCTGTAAATCGAACATGTGGTTGCACACACTTATATTCATACATATACTGCATATGAAAATTTGCTAACTGCTCATAAACCCTGAAACGAAGAAGGAAAGCTGTGACTGTGTTACAAATACACATAATACAGTTACATATAATAAATAAGACAATATCAGAATGTGTTTAATAACACTACATGTAATTTTTTTGTATAATTTGCAACTTTCAAGTGTTGCATGCAAGTCAATGCCCTCTCAAACCCACCCAGCATACAAGGAATGCATTTCCCTTTCCGAATTTGAATCCCTGGCAGGTATGCAACAGGAACAAAAACGTAATGAGGGGGTCTGTCAATTGAACTGCACTTAACAATATTTCTTTATGAGCTGCCCTGACATACTCAACGAGGCTTAAGTAAAGACTGAGTGCTTTCTTTATAGTTTTAAACATGCGGGACGCCCTTTCATAAAGTATCATTAAATGAAATTGCTATATCGACATTGATCATGTCCGTTTTGGGCGTCATTGATCACGACTGTCAATACAGATTGTAGACAGTCACGTTGAACGGGAGCAGGGGAAAGATGGCCGATCGGGCGTCAATTAATAATGGTACACGTCATGGGACCGGCCGGTCGTGACAAATCACGCCGCGTGCCGGTTACCGAAATGAGCGCAGCTATGTACGTGCCGCCTGCCGGGTCGTTGCTGCAGTCCACCGAATGCCGGCAGCTGACTACCCACTTCGAGACCGACCGACAGATAATTCACTCTGTATAATCAACGACTAATAAACCGTCACACTAATAGACCGCTACCTATAATCACATCCTCGGCTAAGACATTAAAACGTACTCATTTGACTGAAGAGGTGGCCCACACGTTCCAAGAAGATATAATCAAGGAGCATAAAGTGAGATTGACATTATAATAGCTGGGCACAGCTGGATTGCATAACCATACGGTGTAGATCGAAGAGTTGAAGAAAAACTGACCTTTGGGAGTGTAGGCGGTATATGATAACTCGGACAAAAGCTATGATCACCCGGGACTCCGGGTGCACGAACCCAGTCGGAATGCAAATAAATTGTTGCATATAAACAGGACGAGTCGCACCTGTCGGCAGTCGCCGATCGGCGGGTAAACAATGCATGTCATCGCGGTAAGAAGGATGGTGCACACCCGCTACATTTCAATGAAACAAAAGATCACAAAGGTCTTTAACAACGTTTGAAATACTTCATTGGTTCATTTATAAGAGGCATTATTTAAAAAAAAAGTTATAATTCACTAACATATATTACACCATATTGTGCAAATTCAACCTCCTGCTGTATGCTGTATGAACGAAGCAGAGTTTCTTGGGACTTTGAAGAAGCGATTTGATAATATTCCCTAGGAATCAATTTGCAAAGCAGGCAGTTTGTTACAACAGCGGCCCGGGATGATATCAATGACCCCGAGCCTCAGACAAGAAGTCCCGCCGAGTTTATTTAGCATAATAGAACAGACGAAAACGGAAACGACTTAATATAAACATCACAATTCATAATGAAGGTTGAACAAGATTGGAAAACTATCAATAATCTTCATTATTATAATTTGTAATTATTATCTATGTAAAATCCAATGTTGTACTTCATATTTAAATCCGTATCGGTACGTGAATAACAGATTTTACTGTTATGTATGGTTGTGCGTTTTAGTGAGAACAGATAAAAGTTCAAATCAGCTATCGAATTTCTACGGAGCATGTTTACAGATATAAACGTCAAAAAGATTTATATGGCGTATTATATCCATTGCTTGGTTCAAATGGTATAAGAACTAAATCTCGTTTATTCGGGTCTTCCACAATATGAATGACTTGCACAATATTGCCCATTGAAAGCTTTGCAGTAAGACGGTTTCCGAAAATTATTTAAAAGCAAGTCATCTTCAGGTCGGATGTCCGAAGTACGTATAACAAAAAATATACTTATTGGGGAAAAAAATATGTAAAGGAACTTAAGAATCATTAAGCTACCTAATGGAATATTGTACAGGCGCGAGGATAAAAAATTTAAAGTTAATAATTCATGAAAGTGATATTCGACGTAAAACAGATCTTCAAGTTTTTCAATGATTTACTGTGGCAATATTAACGAAGAACGGTGAATTTGTTACAGACAGGGCGATGTTAAGCGCGGCCGTAGCGGCGCTAGCGTGCCTCTGCTTGGCGCGTTGCTCGCCTGCAGAAAATTACGGCTTGCGGCTCTATATGCACGGCAACGCACATAGTCTTAAGGTAAACCGTAATGCTATGTATTCGTAAAAATTATTGATTTTATTTTAACTGCTTCTTAATTTGCTTTGATCATTGAAATCTCATTAATTGGCTTTAATCATTGAAAAGTTTCTTACAATATTTCCAGGAATTGAATAAAATCCTAGCGAGCATTGACGAGAGACTACGGACATTGGATACAATCAGCACCGTGCAGATGAAGCAAGCACGACGGCTTGACGTCATTCAGGACAAACTTGGTAAGATTAACAACCACAAATACTTACGAACACACAATGCAGGTATGTATATATGCGTCAACCACCTAGAGTCTAGGTCCTAGACGAAACACCCAATTGCATTTAGATTATAAAAACATTAGACTGCAAGAATGTTTCTCGGCCATGTATGTACGTGACACAATGTTAATAGAGAAGCTGTTCCAATACCTTATGAAAAAAGAAGAGAGCAAAAACATGTCCGGCATAATTTTGCCTGACTATGCGACGCACTAAACGAGATCTCGTACTTCACTCGCTTTAGAACAGTACAAAGCGTTTTCCATGCGGGAAACAGGCGAGTTCATAACCGTATTGTGTCACATCCTACTTTAGATTAGTCAGTTTCACTTTCGCAACAATTCTATACATCACCCGCAAGTGGTCAAATAAGGGCGACGTTCAATCAATTGGCAGGAGGATCCGGTTATAGCCAACTATTGGACATAATGACTTAACATATGACCCGTCATATGGGAACGATGATAAATAGGAAGCCGTAATGGATTTTCAATTAATTGCAGAGCGGGTGGAGACAACACTCTCATTGAGACTAGAAAGGGCACAGTTGGCGACAGAAAGGTTGGAACATCGGTTGCATATGCTACAGACTAACATACAAGTACGTTGTGAAGAATTACTTATCTCGAAATAATCTATTCAAAACTATTATTAACAAATGCTCCCTTTCAGGCGACCATCAAAGACAGCAGCGAGAGGTTAGAACGAAGTCAGCTGAAAATTGGTGAACTGGCACAAAACTTAACCGATCATATTGGGATTCATAAAAATTTGTTAGAAAAGGTAAAATATAGTCAAAAGTGTTACTGAAATAAGTTTAAATAATTTCCATTGCACATTCTGAATAACAAATAATAACAATGGAGTCATGATATAGTCTCACTGTAAGTAATGTAAACTGTTATCTACGTCAGGTAAACGGCGCGTATGCAGACACATGGCGACGAGGACTGCTGATAGAAAACATGATGCGCGACGGGCTGTCACTCGTGAACGCGACTCGACGCGAACTCGCTGACGGCCTACGAGCACTCGCTCGCCGACAGAGAGACGCCAGACTGACGTCTGTCGATTTAGAGACAAACTTTCGAAGAATGAACGAAAATACCTATAACATCGACTTGAAGGTATGCTCTTTCTATATACTCCTAAATGCACTCTTACTGCCTTGCAATATTCAGAACAACGCCGAGTCTTTTGTAGTTTATTCAAACAGTCAATACAGTTATTGAACGATAGCTGTGTAGTAACTTTAAGCATACATAAATAAGTCCTAAAAGTCCTATACATTGTTAGTTTAGTGTTTTGTATGTTATGTTTTTCATTGTATGTGAAGTACTAGTGTGATATGTTACTGCGAAGTATTATAATTATATTATGTGTAGTATTACTGAAAGAATAAAACGCAAATGATAGATTTAAACAAAAAGGCTCACTTCATCGAGCCTACATTAGGAACAAAATGTGGTAAACAATTAGTATCAATTTTGGGTAAAAGGGTAAGATTAATTGTGCTTTTCGGATTACAAAAACTATTTATTAGAATACGAAACAAAGTATGACACATGTTTCTCTACTATACTACTGTCATATTAATGTTATGGATATGATTTTTAGTTACAAGAAGTGCTGGAGGCACAAAAACGTTTCGTGGATTCATGTCAGAGGGTGCAACTTGATGATCCGAGCCATGTCGCTGATGTTCTTGACAAGTTGATAGAAGCCCTCATCAACAAGTACGTTTATGTTTATTTTTATGCATGTTTTTAAATTCATACGAAACACGATGAGAGATCATCGACAGCTCATTAATAACATAATTTTGTGCTTTCAGGACCGCGTCAACGTTCCACGAGCTACAAAACATTCAAGTGACGATTCGAAACCATGACAATAAAATTATGAAGCTTCTGAGTACAGGACGGCCTGCTCAAGTAAGTTTGATAACTTGTAGAACCGTTGTTGTTAATTCCATGAAAACCATAAGGATGAGTCTTAAACGTGGAGAATAAAAGAATAGGCGTAAAAATAAACACCAATTTTTAATTTCAGAACGAGGCTACATGTCGTCGCCTAGAGAGTGTGTTCCGCAATGCATCACACAACTCTCTTAAAGAAAATGAGCTACAACAGTTAACGGAGAAATTCGTAGCGCTAACTGACCGTGCCGACGCTGCCTTACAGCGACTGGAGGCGCAGATGGGAGACGACAGAGATAGGGAGCCCTCTGACGTCACAGCTGCTGCTGACCAACTTCTACTCAAGCTAAATGGAATCAAGTAATAAGTTAATGATTTTGTACCACCCGTGACAAAAGAGACGTCTCTGTAAAACTGATTATTTTTAGAGGTTCTCTTATCATCCTGACAGTTGAATTGCTCATTAGAAAAATAAATAAAATTTGCAATAATCACATTTTGGCGGCTATAATATTATTGTGGCAGGAAAACGTAGGTAATAAAATCATTTTCGTGCCTTTTTACTAGTTATTTTGTAAAATTATTTAAACTACAATTTTTACATAAAAAGTAACTTTAATGTTGTATATACCTGAAAATAACTCTACTTTAAGTCTAAACAGTTGCAATTGTTTCTTAATATCTACAGATAGATATATTTTTATAATTAATTTTCAGCTGACGCCATTTATTATTTTTACATCTGGTTATCTAGTTAAATTATTATAATTATTAATACAAAGATCGAACATTCAGAAAAAACACTCAGAAAAAATTCCTTCGATCCGGTCGGATTCGAACCGACGTCTTCTTGCATGCCGTGATAAATCTGTAATAGATTTCTCATAGATGGCGCTACGACTAAAAAAGTCGTTGAAAGACCAAGTACAAAGACACGACGCAAGCACATAGAAAAATTCGTGAGGTCCGTTGGTTCGTTCCGTGGCTTAGTTGGTATAGCGTCTGACACGGTATGCAAGAAGACGTCGGTTCGAATCCGACCGGATCGAAGGAATTTTTTCTGAGTGTTTTTTCTGAATGTTCGATCTTTGTATTAATAATTATAACAAACTAGTGGAGTAATTTCACAAAAAATAATTGAATATCAATTCAATAAAAATTTAATTAATACAGTGAATAGCGACATCTCTCGCCAGGACACTGGTAGCTGTAAAGGTACTAACTGGGTGATAAATCTGTAATAGATTTCTCATAGATGGCGCTACGACTAAAAAAGTCGCTGAAAGACCAAGTACAAAGACACGACGCAAGCACATAGAAAAATTCGTGAGGTCCGTTGGTTCGTTCCGTGGCTTAGTTGGTATAGCGTCTGGCACGGTATGCAAGAAGACGTCGGTTCGAATCCGACCGGATCGAAGGAATTTTTTCTGAGTGTTTTTTCTGAATGTTCGATCGTTGTATTAATAATTATAACAAACTAGTGGAGTAATTTCACAAAAAATAATTGAATATCAATTCAATAAAAATTTAATTAGTTAAATTATTTATTGAGATCGTAAATCTGTTATTCTATATATCTGTTATTCCAAATATTATTGCTCAGATTTTACATTTGATTCTGATATTCAGCATCGACTCCATTTCTGCATGACATTAGGCATTGTAACCATTTTTATTTAGAAGTATACTTGTGATATAGGAAATAAAACTAATTTTCGTCTGACTGTCAGCTATGACCATGGGACCTGTGAAGGGCCCGAAACGTTGGTTTGTTTTAGGTCCGAAAAAATAGTTTCATTTGCTATGTGTAACAATCGCAAAAAACTAAGAACTCGACATTCTTGAGCTAAGTTAATCGATCAGCATTTTAATGCTACAAGTGAATAATTATAAATATATTTTAGAGGTGAAGACACGGAAGAAGATTTTGACTGGGAAGAGTCTGAGAGCGGGTATTTTGACGATGGCGGAGGTGGCGACATGATGGAAGAAGATAAGAAAATTTTGGGCGCGCGTCACGGGCGCAACACGGCAAATCGGCCACGCGCGCCGCACCGAAGGCATCACCATAAACACCCATACGACCGAGGTCCTCAGCCCGACAAACATTCCGTGCCATAAACATAAGCTAATAATATAAATGTAAGAATATTTTTAAATTAATATTCGTGTTTCATTTCACATCTCTTTCCAACAATTTTAATGGAATGAAGCGTTTCTTAACTCAAATGAATTTGTGTCTTCAATACAATCAACGAATGTCTTTTAATCTCCCAAGGCTCTATGTGCATGAAAATGTTGATAATATATGAAGGAATTCAGACGCTGACACAACAATATTCTATGATCACGTAAATGCCCATTATACATGATAATGAAAATATCGCATTCAAATTTAGCGCTACATATTTGACATGAACATAGGGTAGATAATAGAGTATTTACATTGGGCGTATACAGGTTGACTTTTTTCTCAGTAGCCAATTTTTTTCTACGCATTAGATATCATTCAAAGACTCCATGTTTGAAAAAAGTGGATAGTTCAAATTTTCACATTAAAATTATTTGTCCAAAACAATAATTGATCATTTTTGGTTACAATACGCTTGTCAGGCGAATGAAAGGAAATACAATCTCGAATTCCCTCACCGAGTACAAATGCTACAATGTTAATAAATAAAATCAACTACCCTAACTTCTTTTCACTGTAACTGTTAGTATTATCTACTGTGAACTTATGTACCACTTTAGGTGCTATGTCGTAGGATGCATACTCTCAAGTTATTGATTGACACATCTACCTACAGCTCAATATTCATGAAAATCAGATTACAGTACAGAATAGCAATTCAAAAGCCCTTGCTCGTTAAGAGAAGAATCTACAACACCTACCTCAAGCTTTGCGCTATTCTGGAAAATAGTGAGAGCCTTGTGTGTGAGTTGTGCAAAACAAGAGCTGAGTGTAGCGATCTTTTGCCGCGCTCCAAACACTGTATCTGTTTCTTCGGATTCCAAATCCACTGTAACAATTTAAATTATTTTTACAATCTGAAAAATAGAACAAATTAAAATAAAATGTATCAATTTTGTAAATGTAAATATGTTTTTGCAGTCACATAAATTCATTACATTTTCCAAGCATGTAACAAACAGTACAGCACTATTTTCTAAAGCTTAGGAGACATTCCAGTTTTGTAGAAACACCCAAATATTACTAGAATCACTTGCTCTTTAATTAATTAGGCAAAATTCCACTTGTTTTCATCTTATTTCTAAGCAGTTAAGATATTTTTTTAATTAATAATCGTAATTCTGAAATCAACACACATGGGTCAATCAACTATTTTACTGGCACTATGGTGAAAGTATGAAGAAATAAAAAATAATGTTTAATAATCCTAATCGAAATTACATATTACAATTACATACATACACGTATTACAAATTACATATTATATTAAAATTAAAACTAGTTAATATCTTTGCACGTCGAGTGATGTTAATGAATTATTTTTGAAGTTGCTCATGAAAAACTAAATTTTTTCCCAGTCCCTGTGTCTATTACGTTCAACAGAACTTTTTTTCAGTTCTCATGAAATTCCGAAAATCGTATTTTCTATATTTATGAAAAATGTTAGGAAGAAATTGTATTTATTATTCGTAAATTTCATAGTACTTATGTAAATAGTTTTCGATGATATAATGGTCCCCAAAATAAATTACTTTTAAGAAAAAGTAGGGGTAGTCAGAACATTTGAGGCTGAGTAAACTTTCAAAAACTTATAAATACATTTACCGATGATTAAAATGCGTTCACAGATCGAGTGAAGGTAAAAGTGTGAGGGAATGATTTTGTGAGGACATGAATAATATATATTTTTTAAATTTATTTATCGTGTTTCTGCCACAGGATGGCTTTATTTCACAGTAACACATTTTGTTTGATCGAAAGTTTAAAATATACATGTTATTTTTGTTAAATGTGTTGATTTAAAACACAGAACGTGTTTGATTATGGAACATAGTGAGGGGGAATGATTTCGAGGACATTTTTTATATTATTATTTTAATTTAAGTAGAGCTACCAATATTTTATGTAGGCATTAGTAATCATTATTGAAGTATAATTTTCTATTTTCTATTATATTTCTATTAAATTTGCTATTAAATATAAATTTTATGTCAAGAATCAAATACTATTTCTATAAACCTAAAGGACAAGAATTCCAGACTTTAAGAATTACCCATGTACAGAGATTATTCTATATCTGAAACTGAACCCAAATCGCTAAGAAAATAATCGCAAAAAAAAAAGGCGTCGATGGAGAGACGAGCTAGACGCGCACTTAAATATAGACCACAGTGGCGCAGAACAGAGAGGTGTGGAGAGAGTGGAGGGAGACCTTTGCCCAGCAGAGGGACAGTATAAGCTTCAAAAAAAATATGATGAAAATACATATGCAATACGTATAAAATATGTATGTATTTTTAGGAGCTAGAGTTGAACTACAGGCAAAGTTTTAATAACTTTTATTTACAATTTAGGGGGCAGCTGTGTCTCAGGATAGATAGAAATGATTTTCAGAAAAATACCTGATAATTCAGATATACAATGTCAATACAAACCTTAATCAGTTTATATCTAAACAGTTAATGTGCCTTTTAATTGCCTGGCAAACTGGTAGCGAGAAAATCATGCTGTAGGATAGTACATTTAAAATAAATAGGTTAGTATTACTTATTATATTACAATCATCAATTTCAATAACACTTTATAAAGGAGCTTTGTGACAAAATTAATCAAAGTAAAATATTACAAGATTTTGAAGTAAGAAAAAGAAGCTATTAAGGTTTCCTAAAAAGTACACTAATCTAATATTTACACACATAATGGCATTTTATCATACTTTTCCAATTTGTGTCAGCAGTAAGAAATAAACTTTTTTTAAAGTTGCTCCAATCTCAACCAAATCATTGTACTTTGGTGGTGGAATTTGAGACCACAAATATAAACAAAGGTGTTGCCATTACAAGCAAATATTTTATGAATCCTAAATAATAATAATAAATAAACGCAAACCAGTGTGATTTTTTTTATATTGTGCTAAAACAAAACATTATTGAATCTTTCTTAAAAACACTCTATTTAATAAAATAAGTTTGTGGTAATTTATTTTATTCTAATGGCAATGTGTGCTATTTAAAATGTGTGCATTAGTATTACAAATAAATTTTAAATTTTGTTTATACAGGGTGTCCCGGGACGCGACGTCAAGCCGGAACGGGGTGATAGGCCAGGTCATAACTGTTATCAGAAAAATAAAAAATAAAATCTATGTCATGTATTTTAAAAATTGACCATTTTGAAAAAAATCGCAAAATATACACCCTGTGACGCATTTTCACTTCCCGTTTCTACAAATTTCCACTTTATTTTAATTTTTTTATTATTTTGTAACCCTGAGTAATGCTCCTGTAGCTAGTCGTCTAAAATTTTGACACAACTGCTCTAATTTTGAAAAAAAAATGACACATTATTCCCATATCAAAAGAGAAATTGAATTTTCGTTCAATTTCAACTCACTCTACCGAAAAAAAAATGTACTACACTGGTTGGGCAAGTAGCTTTAAAAGTTGGCGCATTTTAAGAGGATTCCAAAATGGTATTACACTTGCTACTTTATTTCTTAGATTATGGTCAAATAATTTTTTTTGTGAACAAAACCGGTTTTCAACTATTTTTTATTTCTTAATTTAAATTTATTTAGTGTACCCAATCCTTCGCTCGGAACGGTAACTATGACATAATTCTTAACGGTAACTATGAGAGAGACGGAGAGAGCTATTCTACGAAGTGTGAGTGAGATAGAGAGTGACGCCGCTAATGTGTGA